TATCATAAAACGACATTAAAAATCATTGTTCATAAGTAATCCGGAACTGACCTTTATTACTATAATATATATTATAGTATTGACTACGCTAATACGTTCAGCGGAATATCTTATACATTTGAAGTCTACAATTCAGTCCATATTGTATGTTTTTAAGTTGTTTAGTTAATTTTGATACTTTGTCGACGAATTATCTCGGTCTCGTATTAAGGAATTATCTGTACTCACAGCCAGAGCAAGAAAACTCCAAGGCACTACATGGAACACCCAGACCATAACCGTTTTAAAATATATCGTATCCATGGTATAATAAAGCCATATGTGAGGATACGTCAAATATGTCTTTATCGTATGAAAGACATAAAAATATTATGAATTAGATGATACAAATTGTGATATATCATAATTTGTATCATCTCACTTATGTATACATAAGTGAGATTTTATAACACTTTTTATAAATCATAACAGTTATCCACTAATTTCGTTTGTAGAATCTTTACACGTCTCTCCTGAAATTGTCCTTTTGCAGATGTGGCCTTATTACACCAAAGACTGGCCACTGACTGCCACTTGTCAAAATTCCCAAACGGATCCTTCTCATGTAATGCTCGTTAGTAAGTGTTAATCGTTGGGCCAACGAGGATGTTACAATCCATATAAACATACCTAAAAATGTAGTAATAATACCTACTTCATTTACGCATTACGCATTTCAATTCACTCTGTGTAATTTATAGAAAAGTATGTATATAGTAGTTATGGTAAAGCACCCAATTTACGTCCACTTTTCGAATACCCATGGCGTGTCACACTGACTGACGCAACAGAGGATTGGCGGACGTTGCTCAACGCTTGCAAAACGAGCCTGTTTGACCACGCACGTTCCTACTTAGATATCTTTGGTTAAGTCATCACTTTGAGAAAATTGCACTTCACAATTATAGTCTTTTTACGTCTCGAGATCCTACAACAAATTTAGGAAGTACGCATTGTACAATGCGCAGTGACTAAGCATTATAGGCTACTTAATAAGAAATAGTGAGTATTAGAACTTACAGACACAGTAAAGGTCAGGTCAAACCGGTGCACGGACGGGAAGGAAGAGGACACTAAATTTATCGACTTTGTGCTATTTCAATGCTCCGAGACCGACCTCGCAGCGGCGCATTTCTCTCTGGGGCATTGAAGAGGACGCGTATTTTTTTTATAATATCAAATGACAGGACGAACACCTCGTGCGCCTTATGGTGAGCTACACGCCTGTCCGTAACAGTTGCAGTGCTACTCAGAGCTTTAAATCGCAAAGATCTGAGGGGCACTGCCACTTGCGCCCATCACCCTGAGACATAAGTTGACAAGTCCTATGTGCCTGTAATTTCACCAGTATCCTCTAGGATACCGCGGCGGGAGGAGCCAGCGATTGTCTCCATCCACTGACGAAATCCACCGGAATGCACCGGAATGCTCCGGTGTGCGCCAGAATCTGCTCAAGACGCCGCGGCATTTTCGACTGTGTAGTCGCTAGTCGATTGTTTTTCGGATAAGCAAATTTGCTTTAATATGTCAGGTTTAGCTTTTAAATCCGTTTCACGGTAGCCACCTTTACTACTTCAATCCACCGATTAATTACCGCCAAAAATAATGGACGCGCAGTATGGACACAAAACTAAAGGGCGCGCGCGGGCGACAAGCCTTATATGCTGCTACGTTTTCGAGTCATTTTTTAAAAATTTATTGTTACCTGTGTCCTGTTTTGTCAAAGCGGGACATTTTTAAGTATTAATGGGGGTAGCGTACCACGAAGAATAAAAGTTAAAAAGGGATATGGTCATGTTAGGTATTCTTGACATCAGTGTGCGCTGGCGGGCATAAAATCCTTTTCAACGCTCTTTCCCGCCGTCCAGCGGTTTACGTTGTCCTTCAGATGCTTTTTTTAAAAATATTTCACAAAAACAAAACATTGCCAAGCAAATTTAGTTGTTATAAGACCATACATATTCCTATATCTATGTATAAGACAGAGGTGAAACACTCAAATTCCCGTCGAAGCTGATTTTCTTTTGTTTTTCAGTTGGTGTATGAAATAATTTTTCACGGTCTTTTGTTTTGTACCTACACTTCAAAATAGAGAAGAATACTGAGAAATGGAGAATCTGACAATACAAAAATCCGTATCAAACAAATAAATATCAAACAGTAATTGAACTTGTATAAACATAAATAGCTTCGTTCAGGGTTGTCAGATTTGTCGCACCTATGCGGTGACTTGAGTTACATTTGCAAAAAATACAATTTAAAACTAAAGACAGAATTAAAATTTTTATTTTTTTTAGAGTAACAGAGCACATTTAAAGAACTCTGAAAGTTTTGTAGAGAAAGTGGCTCTTAATTAGGCATTTAAAAACAATTTTACAGTAAATAAAATATGTTAGATAAAAAACAAATGACGATAGGGCTTCAAGTTTTTTACCACTGCGTGATTTTTAGCATTCTAAAGCAATGTTTATAAAAACATGTAAATTCCAAAATATGGACTTAGAGTCCGTGACCTCTGTTTACTTTGGTGAACGGTTAGATACCTACTGCATTTTTTACATGGCGCCACTAGAATTACTTTAAAATCCAATTTCAGCTTCCTAGGTGAGTGGTTTTATTTTAAAATGCAGTAAAACTATTTCCGCAAATCGTAGTAATTAATGTGAATGTGGTGGTTTTAAACACTCTTTGTCACTCCTTGTATCTATATGTATAATTTATTTAATTGATAATGTCTTACATAATCAATGTCGGAATTCTAGTTGTATCTTTCTGACAGCCCTGCCTCATTCTACCTATTTGTTATTCTACACCCAACAACATCTTTATATTAACTAATTTCTAGTCTAGAAACGTACCTACTCTTGACTTTGTCTTTGGTACCTTATTGATACAAGTCACATTTTGTTTATGAGTTTGTGCATTTGTTTTTTATTCGCATTGCGGAGCTCTTCCTTACAGGGACAAGAGCCGTCAAGTCAATTTTAGATTTAAAATCAAGTCTATGCCGCTTGCCACAGAAACGGTTTTTTAATACCTATTGCCGGGACGAGCTAGTCGTTCGCCTGGTGGTAAGCGACACGCCTGTCCATAACAATTGCAGTGCCACTCAGAGATTTAAATCTCAAAGATCTGAAAGGCTCTGCCACTGCGGCCGTCACCCTGAGACATAAGTTGACAAGTCCCATGTGCCTGTAATTTCATCAGCACCCTCACCCTTCAAACTGGAACACAGTAATGTTGACATTACTGCTTGGCGGCAGAAATAGGTAAGGAGCTCAACTAAGAGTTAACACCGTTTAGAGTGATTTAAAAATATTTATTTTTGTAGAGTAAAAACTGATTAATTATTAAAAGTAATGAAACAACATATTTATTGTTTATGATGTGATGATAGTAATTATAGTCCTGCGGTGAAGTGTTTTAAAACTAACCTTGTATATAAAAGCTTAAGAGTCTAATCAAATGGCTTTGGTTGATTCCGCATAACAGTGAGTGTTGAATCAATAACTTTGGAAAAATATATAGTAAAATTGAGGATATACACTGATTACTATACGGTGTGAAAATACAATTCCGGGAAATTTTCATGATAGAAAAATAACACAAATTTACATCGAAATTTTGCAAGCAAACCGCAGTATTCAACAGGTACCTATTTTACATATAACAATGATTTTTTTTATATCAAATGAACTAAATAGAACACATACAGTATACGATTCACATTTTTTTAATGGCTTTACTTCCGTTTGTAAAAAATTAAATTCTGTAATAAAACCCGTGTGCCTGCCGCTCGACCTAAGCAAAATGAATGAATGAAAAAAATTAATTCGCGCTAAGGTAGTATCGACTCTTAATGGTTTGACCTACCGCCTTGTAAGCAGAGGCCGTGGGTTCGGATCCGGGCTTGCACCTCTGAGTTTCTCAGAATTTATGAGCAAAATTTAATATGAAATTCACCATGAGCTCTGCGGTGAAGGAACACATCGTGACACAACCCTCGGGAAACGTGTGAAGTCTAAGCAAATTCCATTTGTACCTACTAGGTAGCGAAACAAATGACAAACGGCGATAACCTTAGAAATTCCAGTTAACGCCATGCAAATAAATCTTAGACAAACGTGAACAAGTGTTAGTTTTTGCCAGATTTGGTTAGAATACCGAGAATTCACATGTTCGTATATTTTTCGAAAGGTCAAGAGCACAGTACAGTTTGATACTTAAAAAAGAGTGAGTGAATGAATGAATGAAATTAAATATTATTGGCATATCAGGCTACAAATTGACGACAGAATAGATCGATAGTCGAGTAGAGGCGATATTTGAACAAAAGTGTGTAGCTTCATGTGTTGTTGACTGTACACGAATATATTAGTACTCGAATGTGTAGTATATATTTCCAAAAACATTTCCAAAGATACTTTTTGGTTGCACCCCTCTTTGCCAAATCTTTTTCTATCCTAAGGTTGTCTTGAAGAAATAATTACTATGCAATAAGGCCGCCTGTTTAACAATTAGCTTATTGTGTGATACATACGTCATTATGACTGTTTTATATGTGCATAATAACATATTTCATTATTTTATATATTGTATATATTATATACATATTTTAAATTTCGAATCATACTAAATACACTCCATCAAATACTAATCGACGAGTGAATGATAAAAACCATAAAATCGGTTCGTTACATTTTTTATGCCCTGTACTATGACTACCAAGCAACAAAATTACTTATCCAGAACACCCAGGATCAATTTAGAAAACTTTCGTTCCAAATTAGTCATACCGGGAATCGAACCACGGCCACCTCATTTCGCGCCCATAGTACTAACCGCTAGGTCATCGATATCGTCGACGAAGTTGCTAGGTACTAGAGCAACCATTTTCATACTTCATTTTATCACACAAAAAAAAGAAAAAATCGAGGGCAAAATGACCAGTTGCTACTCACGTGAAACTCGACCCCGGGATCACATCCTACAGAATAAATTTAGGGTAAAAGCAGCTGAACAGTTGTATGGCACGTCACACATTAATCGCTATCCGAGTGCGACTGCTCGGTCGATGCTCCCAAACCGTTAGCTCCCGAAATTGCGACATACAGGTACTTGTTCGGCCGCTTTACTTATAAAGGTACTCATTGCTGCATTGTATCGGCCCTTTACGTATTTTTTGCTCGACCTTTGAGGTCAGTTTGTGCCGTTTCCAATTTTCTGTAAATTTGAATGGATTTTTTATGATATGAAGTGACGGGATAATTCAAGTCGTGCGCCTGACGGTAAGCAACATGGCTACCCATAACAGTTGCAATGCCACTCAGAGCTGTAAATCGCAAAGATCTGAGGGTCACTACCACTGCGCCCATCAACCTGAGACATAAGTTGACAAGTAGGACAAGAAGAAATTAACTCTATCATAGATTTTTTATTTACGTGATCACAAACGAGCAAAGTGGTAATAGTAGATATTTTTTTCGTTCTTTTTTGTTTATTTATAGAGCATTGGCTATAGAGCAATCAACTAACAAATAATTAAGAAACTCAAAAGTATTACAAACTGTAACTAAAAATGGCGACTTTTTTTTCTTTTTCGTCTTTCGGGACAGGCTAAGGTGTCTAATTGGCCATATTGCCAGATCTGAAATTGTGATTCTTCTTCAATAGTTGAACTTTCGGCCATTTTGCAATTCGCAAACAAAATGGTTACAACTTGGTTACAAAATAAGCTAAGCAGAATTAATTCAATTCTCATCTTCGTTCATTAATAAAAAAAATCTAAGCATACATTTAGTACATGTTCATTTAAACATCCTTTTATACTAGCAACAACGCCTTCTAAATTTAAAACGTGCTAACGTCCTTGCAAGCGCAACCAATGGATTTTAAAACGCACGCATCTCAGACTTGACTGCACTCACGCCACTCGAATTAAACGATGTAATAATGATTTTCATGTGTTTTGCATAACGCTAGCTCAATCTCAACTATATTATATAATTTCAGTATACGTCTAACAAGGGAATCTCTTGAACGTAGAGTCGATGTTGAGGTTCTTCGTCGAATGAGAAAAAAGTTGGAAATACTCAGAACTGTAAAGGAAAGGAAGCTGCAGTATTTTGGCCACGTAATGAGGGGCAATAGATACCGGATTCTTCAACTGATAATGCAGAGAAAAATACAAAGAAAACGTAGTCGAATCAGAAGGAAAACCTCGTGGTTGAAGAATCTGAGAGACTGTTTCCACCTTAGTACACGTTCCCTCTTTCGTACGGCAGCTTCAAAAATGAGAACAGCCATGATGGTCGCCAACCTTCGTAGAGAAGCGGCACACTAAGAAGAAGAAGTAGAGTGGATAATTTGATTAGCGCTTAACACGCTTAACAGGTACAGGTACCTGTCTGTAAGTAATCATTGTTTCCTATCACTCCGTATTCTATATTATTTTACACCCTTGGCGTAATAAAACGACTTGTGTAAAATTAAAACTTTCGGAATAGAGTTTTAAAGATTCTACGAACGAAATTTGTAGATAACTTTTCCATGTTAGGAGAAGCGGTAAAAACTATTGCTAGATCAAATGCTTTAGGTATTTTCTCTTAAAAGGATACTGTCTAAAAAATGCAAATTTTTACACGGTAGGCTACATATTATTTAAGAATAAAATATCTAACTTTGCACATAATTTATACACACATCAACACTGTCTAGGGATATTTCGAATTTACTCAATTATCTCAAAAATTATTAAAGATAACATGTATATTTTTGTATATTTACGTGTATATTTTTATAAAGCCCATTTATCTGACTATACTCCAGAATAAAAAAAATCCTTATTATTTTGCGTAAACAATTTTATACTTAAAAACGTAAAATAATGGTAAAACTAACAATAAATGTGTTTCTCAATAAAATGTGAAAAATAAGGAAAAGTTATTGTTTTTAACAGTTATGTGAAAAGTCAGTAGTCTGTAAAACCACTCATGACGTTTATAACGGTCCTGCAACGATTTTTCATACTATGGATTAAGTTATCCAAGTCTTGCTGCGGTATATTGTCCCAGGTCCGGCTAAGATGCAAAAAAAGTTGCTCTTCTGTCGCAATGTTTGCAGGAAAATTCCTCAAAGCCCTTCTTTGGAGCATGTCCCAAGCGTGCTCTATGTGGTTTAGGTCAGGTGACTGAGCGGGCCAGCCTAGACCGATACGTCGTGTTCCTGCAACCATCTCGTCACCACTCTCGCTGTGTGCGGACGGGCGTTATCGTGCATGAGCGTGAATTCTTGGCCCATTTGTAGTCTATGGGGGTAGATTATGGGCACTAGCACCTCGTTACGGTATTTTTCAGCCGTCATGGTGTTTCTGATCCAAACGAGGTCTGTTCTTCCACCAAGACGAATACCCGCCCAAACCATAATCGTCCCGCCGTGGTATGAATGGACTTCCTGAGGATGTTGCAGACGGCTATCACGACCAGGGACTCGCCAAATACGTTCTCTACGTCTATCGGGATGGAAACCGAACCGGGACTCATCGGTAAACAGCACTACAGACCACTGGTTATCTTCCCAGAGCAAATGTACACGAGCCCACTCTAGTCGTCGTCCACGATTTCCTCGGCGTAGTGCTGGAGTACGAAGCGGTCTGCGAACATGAAGGTTAGCTTCATGCAGCCCTGACCATAACCTAGATATCACGTTTTGTCTTGTTCCAATCTCCTCAGCAATACTCCGTTGAGTAACCCCAGTTTGGAGCATGCCTATTGCCCTTAGTATTTCTTCTCTCGTTAAATGGCGTCGCTGCATGATGCACACAATTGGTTTAACTCGAAATTAATCGATAACTTGTTATAAAACTTAAATTTGACACAAAAAAATATCCCAATATTACTGTAGGTAAACGAAACTTTCGGACTTCGCTACTATTATGCCGCGTAAATCTTTTGTTTTTATTTTTTTTTCTCAAATTCAAATTTAGAATCGTCCAAAAAGGTTTACAAAATAGTCTTTTATCAAAAGATCTTAAAACTGGCCAGTATTTTTTGAGTTTAAGAACTTTATACAAAATATCCCCAGACGGTGTTGATGTGTGTATATGCATGTATTTCTTTTTAAGTACTGTAGAGAACCAGCTAAATTTTGGTTTTCAACTAAAGCCTTATTAGTTATTAAATGAAACTGCCTCTGTGGGGGACGGTTACCATGCCGGACTACCACGCAGAGGTCCCAGGTTCGATTCCCGGGCCGGGAGAAATATTTGTATGGCCTACATTTATTTCTCTCATGAGTTTGAGTGTAATTTGTGGTTGTCTATGTGTGTGTGTGTGTCTATGGCATCCGCGACACAGGGTTTCCCTAGTGCGGGGCTATATTGAGTGTGTGCGTAAAAAAAAGTTCACATTTATCCATTGACTTACCAATAAATGGACCTATACCAATAAATAGACCCGTCGGTCTAATACAAAAACCACGAAAAAAATGTCCCAAGTCAACCTATTCGAAATTTAAATTGTAATGTCATCGCAGTATCGCGCTGTCAGTCGAACAAATGAAGACTAAAGCGGAGTTTGGCGCTCTGTATACGATTTTAGCGCCTTACAAGTGCGGACACTTTTTAGCGCGGACCCGATCGACGTCCATATAATTGTAAGTCAATGCATTTATCCCAAAATTTGCAAATTGCCCAGCGCCGTGGCACCCGCTGCACCGTCAGTCCCCATCGAGTACTTGTCGATGTTGGATCTGTCTCAATTTTTTCCGCCTATTCTTATTTTACTCATATTAATTCTCAGCGCGCGTGTTGCGGTAGTTTAATTTTCTGTCTTTTTTCGCGGGAAATCGTTAGTTATATCTTTACGATGTTCATTTTGAAAAACCGGAGTTTGGTGTATTATATTTTGAGTCTCGTAATTTTTTTACAGCTGATGAACTTTTGCTTAATGCTCAATAAATAAATAACTACAGTAACAGCATTAATATCAGCACTTGCACTCTGGACCATACCGTTTACATTGCTCCAGAGAATTTTTGTTCTAAGTTTTGTTCTAAGAGAATTTATGTTCTAAGTTGCGATGTTAAAATGTGTTAGTTTTCTAAAGGACGACGTGTGTTTGCAATGCATTAAATGCAATGTTTAGGCATATTATCATGATTATTATGAATTTAAAATTATAGTTGACGAAATATTATTTGCACCAACTCGTCTTATCGCTTCGTCTTCAGAGTCCAATAGGACAAAATAGTGAACCGTCTCAGTGACACACGTGCCATATTTATAGAAGAAACAACTAGGTTATTGTTGTTAAATCAGATAGTCGAACAAAGAACAGGTCAAACTAATTCCCGTTAATTTGGTAACAATCTCAAAAATCATTGTGCACTATTGTTTGATAAAAAAAGAATTATTAAAACAAGCTTTCGAATAAGGTCGATGCACCTGCAATGAACCGTTACTTGTCGAATTCGGCAGTACAGAGTCCCATGCGGCTATGTGAACTATTTGCCCTTTAAATAACTAAAAAAAATTTAGCAAATTATCAACAGCAAATTATGAATTATGTATTTTTTTTTCAGCCATCTAATAATTAAAAAACTTACTTAAATTAAAATTTATAAAACCCTAATACAACACAATATGTAAGCACTACAAAAAGTCAATAAATTCACCATTACATAGGGTTATTTAAAAAATACTAACCACCTCCCAGGACTATATTACTAACATCATAAGTAACACCTGAAGAAAATATCAAAATCAGTAAAAATATAGCGGTACACCTGTATAGTGGATCATTGTGTGATACATTGTTATTTGATGGTGGTATAGTGAATGAACGAGGGCGACGCATATATCGAGTAGGAGCGCTAAAAAGCAGGCCATCCAGGAGTACCACACCTAGAGTCCCATTAGCAACCCTATGAAGCATACAGAAGTCTGTGATCTTTCGACGATCCACTAGGCTCTTTAACCCGAATTTCTGAAATTATTGTAATATCATCGGATTTTCAGGGGTATACCAAATTTCAAG